CAATCCCAGGAGTTAATGGGCAGCCTCAGCTTCTAGCATTGCTGTATTTCTGAACCGGAAATGACAAGATGCCAGGTGGAGATAAGCGGAGATGACTTTGCCGCACTGAGATCGGGAGGTGCATGCTGGGTAGCCAGCAGCACCATATCCCATAAGGAGCTACGAGCCGGCTTCAGATGCCCACACTGAAGATGGGAGAGTGCTTGCTACAGAGGTGACAGTACATTGCATAACAATGTAACAAAAAAGATTACATTTAATACATATGTCAGAATGTATTATTGAAGCTGCGACCATCGCAGGGGTGTTTTTGAGGGGAAAAAAATAAAAAAGGCTGGCACTCCGCTTTAACTCAACAGGCTGCGGCTAGAAGCTGATTGGTGTCATGTACAGTGGTTTCAAATAGTGTGCTCCAGTTTTTGTTAATCCCCCCCCCATTTTACTATCTCCGCACACAAACTGGCTGGTTAGCTGCAGCCAGTTTGTGGATGGCCGAAACTTGGCTGTAATGTTGACCCTGGCTATACACTGGCTGCGTCAGGCCATGAGTGCGTACAGTACAATTCTGACAGCCGTCGCTGACAGTATACAAGCAGCATTTACGAGTACTGGCAAGATTATACTTATTTTGGTACACTGATCAGTGGTCTTTGAATGCTCATTTTTCGGTTTTAGAGACAGTGGGACGTTGGACCGATGCTGCATCCACCTAGATGAGTTTTTTTTTTTCAGTCATGAACCTCTTTTATATTGGTGCTGGCTTTCTGCAGTGTGTGTAAATCTGACAAGCTGACTGTTGGCTGTCAGATGGAAGTGATTCAGTGGCTGTGCAGCCGCCTGATCACTTCCACACACGCACATAAGTGCTAGTTCAACCCCCCTAATGCATGTGCTACCACCATGTTTCCCAGGTCCTGCACACCCATCAGCAGACCTGGGACTGGAATGGTGGCTGCCACCAAGTAAAAGGGAGGCAGATCAGTGAATATCCATTCAGTGTTCACTGATCTCCCCCTCCTGCTAATGACCTGGAAGTGACATGTTAAACATTGGTTCTGGCCAGGGGCGGACTGACCATTTGAAAACTCGGGCACTGCCCGAGGGCCCAGGGTCAGTAGGGGGCCCCATGACATGCCCCTGGTACCTTTTTTATAGGCTTTTTGGGTTTGGGGAAGGACACAGGGGCCCCATGATCCCCTATTGCCCAGGGGGTCAGTAGGAGGCCCCATGAGATGCCCCTGGTACCTTTTTCATAGGCTTTTTTGAGTTTGGGCAAGGACACAGGGGCCCCATGATCCCCTATTGCCCGGGGGCCCAATGAGTTGTCAGTCCGCCCCTGGTTCTGGCATCACATACTGGCTGGGGCAGAAGTTAATGGAATGCAATCTGCACTCCATTAGTTTAATTGGAGGACAGGTGAGACATTAGGGGCTCAGACTCTTGATGTCTCATCAAAGATCCTGTCACAAAAAAAAAAAAAAAAAAAAAAAAAAAAAAAAAACCACCACAATCACATATGGGACATTTTTTCCCTATGTGATAAAAAATGAAATTTAGTGAAAAAACATTTTTTAAAAAGTTTAAAAATGTAAATTTGTTAGTGGTTATGTGTTAGGGGGGCCTATACATGTTAATTGCACTACATGTTACATATTGCCCATGCTGGAGTGAGAGCAATAATTCTAGGCCCATCATTGACAATGAACTCTAAAGTGGTGGCCTTAAGGCTAGGTTCACACTTGCCCGTAGTCTTTGTGCTGGTTTGTGGGTGCAGGAGTCGCACCTGTTTCAGCATTCACAACCACCAGTAGCCAAATCGCACTGCTCTCACAAGATGCGAAGGGCTTGCCATCCATTCTTAATAGCACCCAGTGTCTTAGCCTGCTCCGTGTTTGTGGGAGCTGCAGGGAAATTGCATTGGTCAAAAAAAAAAAATGCTGTTTCCATGTGGCTGCACTTTTAAAAAGGTGCATGTACCTTTTTCCTGCAGGAAACGTGGGCACAGCAGCCCATTCAAATGAACCGGCTGCTGTGCCGGAGCAAACATGGGCTGCACAACTCACAATAGTGTGAACTTAGGCCTAGAAGCTTTTAAAGTGATATTAATATCTTGTTCATTTATTTTAAATAACAAACATGTTATACTTACCTGTTCTGTGTAATGGTTTTGCACAGAGCAGCTCTAATCCTGCTTTTCTCAGGTCCCCCCGCCACCACTCCTGGCCCCTCCTTCCTGCTGAGTGGCCCCAGATCCAGCAGCTTGCTCTGGGGGGCACCCAAGCAGGCACACCTCCACACTGCATCTCTGGGTATCCATTCACACAGAGCTGTGACTCGGCCCTCTCCCTCCCCTCCTTCTACTTATTGGTTGACTGGCTGTGATTGACAGCAGTGGGAGCCAATGGGGACTGCTGAACAGAGGTTTTTTTTATCTTCATGAACAGAAGGCACAAAGGTAACAAAACCTTCAGTCTTTAGAGGCACTTTAAAGTGTAGCCTAAGGAAAGTATTGGGTACGGATGTTTGTTGCCGCTTCACGTGAGCACGCAATTTGTAAGTTTCGATATGCTGGGTATCCGTTTAATCGATGCAACCTCATCTTTTATATTAAAAAAAAAGTAATCCATTGTGGTAGTGTGCCCTAAAACTGTATTTTCTGCTGAAAAATTGGAACTACTGCTGTTTTATTCTCTAGGGCATGGGTGTCAAACTGGCAGCCCTGCCAAACTACAAGTCCCACGAAGCATTGCAAGATTGACAGTTACAAGCATGACTCCCAAAGGCAGAGGCGTGATGGGACTTGTAGTTTTGCAACAGCTGAAGGGCCACCAGTTTGACACCCCCTGATCTAGGGAGTCTGCTTTCAGAAAATGTGAAAAAAAAAAAAAAACGCAAACGTTTCACTGTCAGCGAAAGGTTTAAAGTCGCACAAACATCAATGGATCCCCTAGGAAAGAAATATAGATATAACCAATGAGGGAGCACAGTGGCTAAGCGGTTAGCAATTCTGCCTGGCAGTACTAGGATTGTTGGTTCGAATCCCAACCATGGCACCACTTGCCTGGAGTTTGCCTGTTCTGCCTGTGTGGGTTTCCTCCAGGCACTCCGGTTTCCTTCCACAGTCCAAAGACATGCTGGTAGGTGAATTGGCTCCTGTCTAAATTGGCCCTAGTATGTGTATGTATGAATGTCAGTTAGAGACCTTAGATTGTACACCCCTTGAGGGTCTTAGTGACTGTACAATATATTTATATAAAGTGCTGCATAAATTGATGGTGCTATACAAGTACCTAAAATAAATATATAAAACCAATGCAAACAAGATCACATCGCTGCAAGCAGAGACTATGCCAGATCCAAAGCAGGCAATGCTTTCTGTGAATGGCTGTGAGAGGTCACTCTGCATATGGAACCAGCTGATTTGATAGTGAGGAACTACAAGTCCCAGTATGCTCTATCAGGCTCAGCTCGGCCATCTCCTGCCTGTGTCTCCGCCTCTTACTTCCAGATGTCACACTACAACCCAATCAGTCATCAAATAGGGAAGCTCAAAACTGTACAGGCACTGTGATAGACAGCTTTGTGCGGGGCTGGTTTTCCAGACAGGCTACGCAGTGAGCAGCCCCGTGAGGGTCCTTGTCCTGCCATGCCGCGCTGAGGGTTTGAATGGTGGAAGCGGCATCGTCATGACAGAGATTGCGGAAAGACAGGTGAGAGCGGGGCCCGGGGCCACTCATATCTGCGGGATGGGTGGAACTGGTCACATTACAGCCCCTGTATTGTTAAGGCTGGGACTTGTAGTTCTATGACAGGTGAGAACTTCCACTGTCCCTGTGGCCGGGCGCTGCTCTGTGAGCTATTTGTCCGTTATTCATCCTAGACCCTGTCACCGGACCGTTCAACAGCACTCTTCCCCTAACATACCCGATAATGTGGTCGGCAACTTCCGCACACTTTGGAACTACAAGTCCTATAAGACATTGCAGGACTCTGATAGTAGCAGAGCTGACTCCCAGGGGCAGGGCATGATGGGATTTGTAGTCTGATCACAGCTGGAGTGTCTAACTTCTCTTCAGCATTGGTGCCCAACCCGTGGCCCTTTGACACATAGTGGGCTTCATTCACTAAAGCGGATCACATGCGGAATTCAGGTGTTTTCTCAAATACTGCATGTCATCCTAAAAATGGCAGTTCACTATTGCTTTATGCTGTATTTACTGCCAAAAGGAGCGTGTGGTCGCTGTGTCCTTAAAGCGGAATTCCACTCATACTGTCAATAAATAAAAGTCAGCAGCTACAAAAACAGCCACTTACCTGTCCCTCAGTCCCGCGTTGTGTCCCCCGCAGCCCGTTTCACCAGCTGTCCTGTATTCCAGGAGGCCGGCATCTTCAGTGTAGGCACCCGGCTGTGATAGCTTGCGGCTTCACAGCCGGGTACCCACTGCGCATGCACGAGTAGCACTGCGCTTCATGAATGGTCCTGTAGTCTTCTGGGACCTGTCACGTGTCCCAAAAGACTACAGAGAGGGAGGGAGGACACCTTCCGGATGCCTAGGCGATCGGATCGGAAGTGGGAGCGGGTACCTTTCAAATTTGGGTACCCACCCCACCCCCCAAAGGTGCCAATCCTTAATGGGGAGTGGGGGAGCAGTCCTTAAAGCGGAACTTCCCCTTTTGGGTGGAGCTCTGCTTTAACAACCATGGCTCTTCTGCAGAGTTTCCCTGCTGACAGGGCCTCCTGTGCTGTTAGCTCAGACAAGGGTCTGGTATGGATTTTGGGCAGGACCTCATACTTTTTTTTTTTAACCGCCTCCTGCCCGCCATATAGTCCAGTGACGGGCGCAAGGTGGTTCTCTCGTTCTGGGGGGACATCATATGATGTCCTCCCATTCTCACCGCGCATGCGTGGCTCCGGGAGCGATCGTCGGTGCGCTGTGTCCCTCAGACACAGCGGATCACCGATCCACGGAAAGAGCCAAAGAGGTTGGCTCGGTCATGTGATCAGCTGTGTCCAATCACAGCTGATTGCATGTAAACAGGGAAATGCTGGTTATCAGCATTTCTCTCCCCACGAGCTGTCACGCTGACAGCTCGTGAGGAGAGGAGAGCCGGTAATCAGCATTCCGCGGAGGGGACATGTACACGGATCAGAGCACTGATGATCAGTGTGCCCTGATGATCAGTGTAGCCCCAGCAGTGCCACCTGTCAGTGTCCATCAGTGCTCATCCATGCCACCTGCCAGTGTCCATCAGTGCCACATATCAGTGCCTACTAGTGCACATCAATGCCACATATCAGTGCCCATCTGAGCTGCCTTTCAGTGCCGCCCATCAGTGCTGCCTTTCAGTGCTCATCAGTGATGCCTGTCAATGCCCATCCGTGTCACCTACCAGTGCCTCCTCATCAGTGCCACCTATCAGAGTCCATCAGTGCAGCCTATCAGTGCCCATCACTGCAGCATCATTAGCGCACATCAGTGAAGGAGAAAAATCACTTATTTACAAAATTGTATAATAAAAATTAAGAAAAAACTTTTTTTTTCAAAATTTTCAGTGGTTTTTGGTTTGTTTAAGAAAACACCTGCCAGTGCCCATCAGTGCTCATCTGAGCTGCCTTTCAGTGTCACCCATCTATGCCAGTCAGTGCCGCCTATCAGTGCCATATATGAGTGCTGCCTTTCAGTGCCCATCAGTGAAGCCTGTCAATGCTCATCAGTGCCACCTACCAGTGCCACCTATCAGTGCCCATCACTGCAGCCTCATTAGTGCACATCAGTGAAGGAGAAAAATCACTTATTTACAAAATTTTATTACAAAATCTAAGAAAAGACATTTGTTTTTGTTTTTTCAAAATTTTTAGTGGTTTTTGGTTTGTTTAAGAAAAAATAAAAACCCAGAGGTGATTAAATACCACCAAAATAGCGCTCTATCACAAAAAAATTATAAACATTTCATATGGGTTCAGTGTTGCATGATCGCGCAATTGTCATTCAAAGTGTGACAGCCTGAGAGCTGGAAATTGGCCTGGGCAGGAAGGAGGTATAGGTGCCCTGTAGGCTAGCGGTTAATTTTGTCATGTTTCTTTAATCACTTCCCCCACCACCTTTTAGTAGAAATACTGCTGCAGGGCTGTGTGAAATCACGTGCTTCTATACATGATTTGCATTTCCGGGTAGGGGGAATTGGCAGCTAGGAATGTCAATCACCAGGTCCCGGCCGGAGATTCCCTGCTGGCACTCAGCGATTGCTGAGTAACACCGACAGGGGAGAGACCTGTGTGTAAACAACGCAGATCTCTCTCCTGCCAGCAAGCACATGCTGGTGTGTATTTCTCTGTACAGTGGAGAAATACACAGCAGCATGTTTCCCTAGTAAAACACACACAGCGCATGATGTAAAACACAGCACAGAGTTAACCTTTTGATCGCCCCAGATGTTAACCCCTTCCTGCCCAGTGTCATTAGTACAGTGTCAGTGCTGTTTATTAGCACTGATCACTGTATTCGTGTCACTGGGATGTTAGTGACATTCAGTTCCCCCCCAGTGTCAGAATGCCTGCTGCAGTCCCGCTATAAGTCTCTGATCGCCAGCATTACTGGTATAAAAATTCCGGTATATATACCGCCATTTGTAGACGCTATAACGTTTACATCCAATGACACAGCAGATCACCAATAAATGCAGTTGCCGGTTATCTGCTGTACTTTCCTCACGCTGGCGACCCAGCGTGTGCTTTTACGTTTGTACGTGCATATATATGTGAGGGTGGGGGCCTCAATATTTTTTTTGGGGGGGGATGGTATGTGCTTGGGTGTAACTTTCATTTTTTTTACAATAAAAGAAAAAAACATTTTTTTCTCATCACATAGGGGACAAAGTCCCCTATGTGATGATTTTTGGTGACAGGTTCTGTTTGAGACATCCAAGGTCTGTATGTCTCCCCTCTGGTCCACTGAATGCCATGTGGTGCACATTGCACCTTATTACATTCTTTCCCGTGGATTGCATTACAATCTCTCAATGGGGACCCGGAAGTGACATCAAAACGTCACTTCCAGGTCAGCACAAGAAGGGGAGGGGATCGGACTTGTCCGCTCTTCTCCCTCCCCTCTAGCCGACGGCAAGCCAGGTCCGCAGATAGGCTGGCACTGTGTGGAAGGAATTGCCCACAGCGCTGTCGCCGAATGCTTCCACCTGACAGGTTTGCCCGCAGCAGGGCTTAAGGTAGAAAAAAAACTACCTGCCCGGAACTACATGTCCCGGGCATCGGGCGATAGGAATCCAACATCCCTGAATACAGTGGCAGGGCATTAGATCAGTTCAGGAGGCAGGCAAAAGGCATGGTCCATTAACAGGCAGAGGTCAATTCACATGGAAGGCAGAAACGTAGTTGATAGTTCAAGTGGCAGGCAGAGGCATCGTCAATAAACAGTCCAAGGTCAGTTCAGGCGGCAAGCAGAGGCATTATTGATAAACCGTCCAGGTCATACAGAGAAATAGCAGATGGTAGACACTGGAAAAATATCTTGACTAATTGTATTGGAGAGTGCTTCTGGATATATCACACATCTCTACACCGAGTCCTGGCTGGGAAGGACATTGGGGACAGTAGTATTGGGTGTCACTGCAAATTTGGTTACTGGAACATACACAACATTTTTGGGGGGCTTTGCAGCCTGTTGGGATAAGAGGGAGGCTATTGGAGAAATGCCTCTCATGGAGTCTGGTCACTGAATCGGAGTGAATTTGTTCAGGGGCATGGCAATGTGAATAGAGAAGGGCTGTAACAATATCCTCTTGATACTTCAGGTAGGTTAGGGATCTTTGTGTGCACTTAGAAAAGATGAACTACAAATTGTATGGGGCTAACTGAAACAAGTAGATGGCAACCTTTTTTATAACAATAGATTGATCTCCTGGTGGCTAAGTACGGCTGTAACATCTGGTCATTCATATCCACCCCCCCCCATGAACTGGTTATAGTCGTGTATGCATCTTGGTTTCTGGATGGGACCTTGTCTTGTTTGAAGTTCCACCCAGGTGTCATCATGAATTGAGGAAAAGATATAGACCTCTTTCCACTTTAGGGCTAGGATCTCTTCATTCTGTAAACTGGCTGTTTCCCCTCATTTTTAATTTTGTTGTGACCAATTGTGGTTGGCCCGTTCTGTCCCTCAGGCCTCAGTTGTCTTCAAATAGAGATGGCGGAATAATGGAAGACTTGTGTAGAAAATTATCTACATACAAATGGTAACCCTTCTTGAACAGCGGTTCTATAAGCTGGCAAACAATTTTGCCACTTGTCCCCATAAAGGTAGGGCATCCGGGGGGGTCTAACTGGCTGTCCTTTCCCTCAAATCTAGAAGTTGTAGGTATATCCCGTGGCCCTGTCACATGCCTTGCAGAATTTTACTCCATGTTTGGCCCGTTTACTGGGGATGTACTATATGATGCCAGCCTTCCAGTAAAGTGGACTAGAGATTCTTCCACACAAATATGTTTGTCGGGGCTAAACATTTCCTTGAAGGTACAGCAAAAAAAGTTGATTAGTGGCCGAATTTTGAATAGCTTATTATAATCAGGATGATTTCAAGGAGGGCACTGGGTATTATTATTGAAATGCAAAAACCTCATAATCTCATAGCGTGTTCTGGGCATACAAGATGAATAGACTGGCATATGATGTATAGGTTGGGTAGACCAGTAGGCATGCACTTCAGTCAGTCCCTTGTTTAGAGTAAGCCCAAGAAAAATGTTAAATTCCTCCACGGTGAGGGGTTTCCACATAAATGGGCGGGCATATGACAAATTGGGATTGCTGGCTATATATTGGCTGGCATACAGTTTACACTGCTCCACAATAATTTAGTAGATCATTAGTAAAAAATAAAGAAAAAAACATATTGGGGTATAATTTGTTGCTTGTATCTGAGCTGGGCTGTGCTGTAAAAGGGGGAATTGTAGGTTCTGCCGAATGAGCAGGCAGCTATGTGGGATATAAAAGCACATCTGGGAGACTAGTATGGGCCTTACCTTGTTGTGGAAGGGAAACCCTGCTACTAGTGCCTGGTCTATCATCTGGGAATGTGGCCCTGCTTGTTCTCTCCATGGCACCAGGATTTGTAGTGCTACAGATGGATACCTGCCTATCTTCTGGGAGTGCTGCGCTGCTTGTACTCACCACTGCGCTACTGGTGGATGCCTGCTCAGCCTCCGATCTCATGAACCTCTTTGTTTGGACTCTCTCCTCCTCTGAATCCGCTGCTGACCCACTGCTTTCAACTGGCTCATACTCAGAATCTGAGTCTGACAGAGAGTTCCCCACTACTCTCATCCGTCATACTCAGTATCTGGAACGGCTCCTCGCTGGTGTATAATTTTTTAGACATTTTGATGTTCACTGGTACAGATGTAGATTTGACACCGATACTCTGTGCCAGATATTGATCACTGGTACTAATGTGGATTTGAGACTGGTACTCTGTGACAGATATTGTAATCACTGGTACTAATGTGGATTTTACTTTGGTACTCTGTGACAGATAGTAATCATTGGTACTAATGTGGATTTTAGACTGGTACTCTGTGACAGATGTTGTTCACTTGTACTGATGTGGATTTTACACTAGTACTGTGTGACATGGTTCATTGTAGCACTGGAAAACTGTGACAGATGAAGATTTGATACTGGTATTGGCAGTGACAAATGTTGATCACTTGTACAGAAGTGGATGAACACTGGTACACCATGACCGATGTGGATCACTGGTACAGGTGTGGAATTTACACTGGTACACCGTGACAGATGTGGATCACTGGTAAAGATGTGGAATGTACACTGTGACAGATGTGGATCACTGGTACAGATGTGGAATTTACACTGGTACGCCGTGACAGATGTGGATAACTGGTACTGTGTGACAGATGTGGATTACCGGTGCACTGACACATGTGTGGGGGATACTATGGGGTGATGTTTGTGGTAACTCCACTGTTTTACACAGATCGACTCTGCTTCTCCTCACTAGCAGGCTCTGTGTGAGGAGAGGCAGAGCCGATCAACTGAATGGCAGCTGTGTTGACATTACATGATGGCTGTGATTGGACACAGTCCTCATGTGATCAGAAGGGCCAATCAGAGAGCCCTTCTGCTGAACGGCGCTACGCTGTGTTCAGGGGCACAGGCACACAGAGTGTGCAGCTGCACTCAGAATGGCGAAGATCCCACCTGGCCGTTTATGTGCGGTGGCAAGAAGGGAAGCGGTTAAGCATGTGAGGGCTGTGTTTTTCCATACAAGGATGCACAGGTGTTGCATGCATCCCTGTGCAGACTGTCCTGTTTATGTCATTTATAAGGTAGCTCCCAATTTTACAGCTGTGTGAGTGCATGGCCCCAAACGTACTCTGTCTG